AATTTTGAGCACATATTGCCTCCTTAGCTGTACATGAAATCATAGGCTAAAGTGAGAAATTTAATGCATTTCATTTGCACTTCAGCCCTTAGTGAATGAATGCATTACATTTGTCTATTCTGTGGCCTCTTTTTCAAATGTGGCAAAGTCAGATATTTTCTAGCCATTATGATTGCAAAAAGATGTGTTCCCCCACTGCAAGATATGCAGCAGCAGCATCCCTGTGGAACAACCTACATTGCTTTCTCCCCTCACTGTATTTAGTCCTCAGCTAGGGGGCTGTGATCTCAGCCAGCTTAGTGCCTGGAGGGGAAAGCCAGCCATTGCTCATTGCCACTGTGACTGTAATGAAAGATAGCTATCTTTATGTAAAAGTGCACCTGGTCATTCAGTAGACACAGACACAGGAGTACTTAGCACTGGGCAAGATCAAAGGCAGCCTGAGTTTTCCAGATTCAATTCATTTCCCAGGTTACACATTTTGCTTGCATACATCAACCACCTCCTGCTAGTAGTTACCTCATTTTTATGGAAAGCACAGAAAGGACTGAGGTCACTTCCAAGACTATCCATCTGGCTTGAAGATTAAGCTTTCTGTCTGCTTTGAAAGTATTAAAGACCAGTATGCTATTGTTAGAAAGGGACTAAAATTAATGTTTGTTGTTGAATTGAGAGAGCTCATCAAATGGTGATGTTACAGAGCTACTGTATTTTCTAAGTGCTTTAGAATTGCTAGTATAGCTTGGAGGGAGTCTATGATTTAATGTTTTAGCTAATTATTTAGGTCATCCTATTTGTATGTTGGGATATGTATACAGGTGACACAAATAAGCTTAGCTGCAATTAAGTCATTTAAGTGGCATCAATTAAGAGTAGCTGAGAATATGAGTAACTGTATTAGTTCCATAAATTTCTATATTTGAGTTGGCAGCCAAAAGCTCTTGGGAGTCAGTGGGATGTGTAAGTGCTCTGGCTGTATCTCCTTCTCCCAGTTCTAATTTTTGCACAACAATTTATTACAGCAATTCAACACTTCAAAACTTCCTTGGCATTAGCAAAATCCTCAAGAAACTGTTTTAAGATGTCTTTAATGTTGTTTTATGCCACAACAATCTGCAGTGGCTTCTTTCCTCTCAGTAGTATCTTTAGAGAAATGCAGTTGCAAGTTCACCAGCATAAAATGACTGTGATAATTATGAGTTACTTCCCAAATTATTTCTACCATAACTGTACATAATGTACCACCCTTCTTAATTATCTTCTCTCCCTCCTCTCAACACTCTCCCTTAGTGTGTCTTGGATATACTTTAATTGGCTAAGTTCCCTTTCTTTTTAGCAGGGGGAGGCAACTTCGAAATAAGGCTGAATGTTGCCAGTTAAGAAATATGTTCTTTCCACATCTACTTGAAAGTTTTTCATGCAAACTGTTGTAATTAGTGATAGGTTGATTGATTTATTTTTTTAATATAAAAGTTTTGAGACTATAAAGGTCACATGTTTGTTTTTATGCTCTGAACGTAGGAGAAACATATTTACCAACACAAAGCTTGCACTCTAACTTGATAATCAACAGCTTCATTATTTTTGTTGGAAGGAAGTGTGATTCTAGCTGGAAAATGTGAACAGATCCATACATCCAAATATGATATGGACTCAACAGCTAGCCTAATCGCACCGTGTGTCAAGCTGCTTGACAACAAACACCATGAAACACAGAAAATAATAGCTAACATGGAGGAAAGCTTACCATAAAAAATATTTTAACTTCAGTGTTTACCTCTCCACACTTAACAGTGGTGTCTTGTGTTGTTGTACAGAATGACTGTAGTAGTCAGATTCTCCAGTCAAGGTCACACTACATTAAGCAACGTACCTTTACCAGAACAAAGAATTAAAGTGCTGTAGGCCTCTAATTAGTAGTATTCAATACCACAAATGATAAAGGTCAGGTGAGAAACTGAACCACTGCCTTCCTCCCAGCTGGTTCACATTGCAGCTGCCACTTTGGTGCAAGTTCCTATACAACATCAACAGAAAGTAAACTTGCCCCAAAAAGAGTTTGTAAAAGCAAAATGTAAGACACCAAACAGTAGTTCCAAACTACAGGAGACAGTGACTCACAAAGATAATGGTAAGTTATGATTGGTGTAATTTTTAGGGTGAATAAACCCCAAGTTTTAAAGATCTGAACAATATAATGTAAAAAAAAAACCTGCAAACACCCAAACCCCAAAACCCTGCATTTCAAGTTTGCAAAGCAAAACTGGACAGTCTCTGAATAGGGTCTGAATGCAGAAGGCTAATTTTAAAACAGCCTCTGGATTCCATAGAAACGTGCCTTCACACATGAGACTTCTGCATTCCCTACTTGCCAAAAGAGTGTAAAGGGCAAAATTGTGGTGTTCTTTATTGTGCAGGACTTGTGTAGCACAACTGGCTGTTTCTTCTGGTCTTTGATGCTTTATCTCATCTGAAGTTCTCCTTGTAGAAGTTGCAGCTTCTTAGCTCTGGAGTTGGCTTAGACCTCTTGAGACATGACTAAGCTGAAGAGTGTCAGGCAAAGTAAGCTGTCTCAGGCAAGCAGGCAAAAGGATTTGCACTTTGCAGTTAGCCAAAGGTTGTAGGTGGCTGGAGAAGAAGGTGGTGGTAAGGCTAGCAGGACTTTCTGCCTAGTGGACCATGGCACCTTGGCATGGTGTGTGGGCAAATTCATCCAAAAACTCTTAGTTTGGAACTACTCATTCCAAATCTTGGATCTACTCGGCCTCTTGCTTCATCATTTCTGTCTATGCAAAGTGTCTATGTAAAGAGACAGAAGACTGGCAGGATTTTACTATCACTTCACATAGCTGTAATTGTGTGAAGTTGAAACTTTATGTTATGTTCTCTTTGCTGGCAAAGTCAGGATGCAGAGGTCCTGTTTTCTCCACATGCGCTCAGGCTGTTTCATCCCTGACTGCCTGTTCTTGTCCCTGTGTCACCCTTCCACTTGTGTTGACACAACTGTCTGTTAGGACTCTGCTAAAAACATATGTGAACTGGTTTGAATTAAAAATACTTCTCATCTGATTCTTCGTCTGGCCTCATAAATAATTGGGTCTGTACAGCTGGGAGAGGAGGGGAGGCAGTGCAGGGAGGAATGGACAGCTGGAGAAGGATGCAGGGGACCTTCTGGAGCTGCCAGTGCTGCTGAGATGAAAGTATCAGATGCCGTGTTTGTCAGCTAGTGCGTCTGCCCATTCAGAGAGGAACAGACCAGCCTCAGCTCTCCCAAATCACTCATTTTAATGACACTCTGTAGAGCAGGTCCATTATAGGACTTGTTCAGAAGCAAATAGTTCTGAATAATTTCAGTTCTTCCCTATTTTTCGTGTTCTGTGTTCGTTGTTTTCACTCTAGGATCAAACTGTACCGTTAGCAACTGTATGTATTTTCAAATTAATACATCATTTCTGAGGAATTATAGGCAAATAAGATGTATGTTTGATTTAAACTACCTATGCTACTGCCCTCTGAGGCAACTAATTAGTGCATGACAAAAGAAATAGTCTGAACAGGATCCCTCAAAGACCAGTTGAACATGCACATCCCAGGAAAACCATTAATCATGTGCACAAAGCACTTCTGCTTCTGGTGAGTACAAAAGTTATCCTTTTTGACTGGGTTATTTTTTCTCTACAGATGAGAGGAGCACGTTATAATACCAGGCACATGTTATCTGAAACTGATATGCCACAAGTAGCTAAATATAATATGTCAAGTGTATTGGTATGAACTAGTACGTAATCTCTGGATCGAATCCCAACTTTTCAAAAGGTCTCCTTACTTCCACTCTCCATTTTGGCAGAGAAATAAGAAAACACTAATAGTAGAAGTGCACAGACAGCCTGTTTTTGAAATGGCAGGTTTATTAAAAATGTTCTCTATCACAAACAGTGGAAACATACTCAGCAGATTTTATTGTAACTGAAAGATTCAGTAGATAGTGGAAAGGAAGTAACTGTGAATGTAAATCAACCACTGAATTATGACAAATAGCGGGCCAGTTTCCACACAAAACACCTCACAAACCCCCAATATTACTCGTTCCAGTTTCTGTTCAGTCTGCCCTTAGGATGAAGCATATGGTTCAAGAGCTTGAGCTTTGGGTTTATACATATTTACAGTAGAAGAGCCTACAGATTACGGGAGAGGACACATTAGCACCAGTGCTTACGGATTAGGACTCACATCGCCTCTGCCACTGCATGTGCACGGTACTGACTCTACTGAAGAGTTAGGTTAAAAAAGGTTAATAAATCTGGCACTTGGAAGGCAAACTGTGCTCTGCAGTGACCTAGGAATTCTTTGTGTTATGTATCACACTTGAATGCCTGTCTCTGAAAGCTGCCCATCAGAATTACCTTAATGCGCTTTCTTGCAAAAATGCATGCTTTGCTTCACCTCTGCTTGAAGTGTTATTTAGCAATATATGTAACCCCTTGAGATCAGGAAATCAGTGTGATTTTCTTACTGCCGTTCTAAAACTAAGCACAAACTCTATTATTTAGCAAATATTAGACAAAATTAGTATCTTTAGCAGTTTTGGTGAAACAGTTTCGCATAGCAAAAAATCTACATAAATACAGTGTTCATAATTACTGAGATTCACAAAAAAAGGCTTTGGTTAGAAAATCAAAAAGGGTCAAATAAAAAAAACTTTAAAAAAAAGAAGCCAAAGGAGTGTCAAATGCTATATTGGAGTCAAATGAGTGCAGAATAAAACAGTAGTTGTCCATTAGTTAATTTTTCAGTATTAAAATCTTCCACCTAAAGAAGCCCATGTCTCTTGCAAGCTGTGTGCCTTTCCTGACGTTCACAGCTGGTCTCCTAGCTCCAGTACAAGCAGGGTGGCAATAATTCCACATTTTCCTGTTCAAGGCAAAGAGTCCCTCTTCCAGCTGCGAGGTAGAGATTGGGTATCAGGTCACTGGGATATGAGATACCACTGAGTGTAGCAGTTACACATTTGTTTCTAGTTCATTTATTTCAATAGTGCAGTGGTCTTTACTGTTGGATTTCTTAGTCTGATTCTCCACTGGACTTTCTTCTTGCTCCACTTGTACAGGTATGTGGTGCTGAAACCCTTTCACTGTTTCTGGTCCACGAGATTCATTCATGGTCTTCACACAGCCATTTCTCTGGTAAGCCACAATCTGATGGATGTTAATAGGCTTAGTTTCACAGATCAATGGCACCTATGTGAAAAGCATTAAGATTTGGAATACTGCCACTGTTTGCTGTATACAACAGGAAAGGAATTTTTACTTTGAACGCCTGTGGTCTGCTTTACATTCACCAGGATTATCTAGGGCCTCCATAGACTTCCAGGACCTGTTTCTCATATACACTAAAGCATCTTTGCACCATCTGGATCAAGCAAAGATGTCTCTAAGTATGTAAAAATGCAAATTCTGTCACAACTCTAATTTAACTTATACCCACAGTAATAACTGCTTGCATCAGTAAAGCGATATAAATAGGGTAAAGACAGGCTAGAATTTCAGTGCTGAGTTCGAAAGATATGGTCTCTCAACGACCAGTATGATGAGCTTTGGGCAGTGCTTGCTCTTGAGTGGAATTATATAGACCAGTAAGTATCTGTTGTTGTCGTCTTTTTCTGCTAACCCAATAAACTAACACCTGTCTTTTCAGTTTGCACTATTTCAAAAGAAATATAGGATTTTATTGACTGATTCATAAGTTAAATATTGAAGTGTCCTTTAAATCAAACCAGAAGTTCTGATGGGGAAAATAAGACGTAAATACTGGCAAAGAAAAGAGGTGGTCTTGCAGTTGAGAAAATTTGGCCTTTGGGTATACATTACTAACTCCACAAATTATGCAGCCAAAACGTATAGCAGACTAATGGTATATTTTAATACAATTACAGAGCACGATGCAAAGAAAAATCTCATCATGGATGACTAAATAATCCCTTAGGAGGGATTTTATATTCTTGAAACATCTCTTCTTGAGTTCTGACTGAGTTCTAAATACAGCAATGAAATGTCAGGAGGCCTGTGTTATGCAGGAACTCAGACTACACTTCTGGCTTTGTAATGGATGACACACCTTACCATTACGTTGTATGTTTAGGTTTTTTGTAGCTAGCTATATGTGTAGCCCATATATTCAGGCCTAATCCTGTCATCAGTAATTATTGCAGGTGCTAAGTACCTCAGAGAATAAGGACTGTCTTTCTATATAAAACTTGAAAGAACAGGAATTTTAAATACATGTTGCAGGACAGCATGAGAATGGGATTTACCAGAAAGACTGTCTGTAAAATGGGAGAAGTAATAATAGAAATAAAACTTTGCTATTAATACTGTTCTTTGTAGAATACTATAAATTATGCACAAAAATAAAACATGCCTTGTGAAAATCAGTCCCGATGAAGAAACTTTTCTGCATAAACTATTCTGTCTTTGTGGAAGAAAGGTAGTGAGAGTCTGCCGTGAGCTGAAATGGTTGGAGATTAGCACCTCCAAGCACAAAAGGCTTGTGGAATTAGGAATCTCCTTTGTCAAGGATTTGATGGAAGAGCATGAGGAGTTCCTGGTATAAGGAAAGACTGAATGATGCATGCCAAGGAGGAAAGAAAAAAAGCATAGGAGTGGAGGGAGGCAGGGGGAGAATACAGAGGTACATGTGGAGTATGGAACAAGATACAGAGAAAGAAAAACAAAGATGTAAGGAGAGACTTGTATTAAATGTAGAAGGCATGAAGATGCCTGAGAATGAAATCTAGAATGGAGCAATGTGCTTGTGCTAGGTCAGAAAGGAAATTATTGCAGTGGTGGCTTCAGATTGTGCTAACACAGAAGTTTGAAACACCCAGGGTAGTTGCTTTTGTTGTGAGCTTATTGATGATGCAGATACACACTCATAGATACTTTTACCTCCCCCTACACACAAATACTCAAGGACATTTGTCACCCTGCTCTGTTGCTGGTCACATTTTTAGAAGGACAACTTGCTGCCCAGTCAGACTTGGGTACTGAGTGTGAGACTCACAGTTCTAGCATCTCGTGCATTTGCAGGATGTTGCAGTTGCTTCTCCTGCTCCCAGCCCCAGTGTGCCAGGCACAGCTGGCTGGCAAGCTTTGAACTTGAGTGGCTTTTTGCATGATCTCATGGAAAAGGACCCCTCCACCCCATCTGGCTAAGCAACACATTACCTAATTCTGTCCTCTCTCTGAAACACCTTTTATAAGCAAGATGAAACAAATGTGGGAGGCTGAGAGCTCACAGATTCTCTGCCGTAATACAGCACATGCTGGCACACCCTGGCTCATGGCGTTGTTACCTCATCACCATCCTTGACAAACTCCTTCCGGCAGATGTGGGCCATGATCCCAGCAGCCAGCGCATCTCCCAGGACATTGATCATTGTTCTAAACCTGTCTCTGGAAAATGAAATAGTAATGGTAAGTTGTTGGCTCTTTGGGTACATACCTATGCCTTCATCACTGCAATAATTATAGCTGAAGGCCAGTTTGGCTGTTTTTATGAGCTAACAAGTTTAGAAATGGTAGTAGGGAGTTTGGCATGGGGCAGCCACTAGTTACTGAGCTGCTCAGTTGGGTTTTCTGGCCTTTTCAGAGCTCAGTGCCCTGTGCTGCCACATACTTTAATTTGTAACTAACTAACTGAGCTAACTAGAGCAGCTGTGCCTCCCTACACATGCAAGCTGATTCATCACTAAAAAGGTTTAACACAGCAGGTCAAGATTGCATTTATGTCTGAGTTTTTATGTTAAGGTTCAGCATTATGGCCTGATTTGGAGGCTGGTGCTGCAAATGTCTTAGTAAAAGGAGACGGCAACCAGTACAACCAGTTATCAAGACTGCAATCTCAGCAACCAAAGTGCTAGTTAAGATTATTGTATTGGGAGAATGTGCTGAACACAATCAAAATTATTCAGAAGATTGCTAAATAACTACACTCACAAACTAAGCAGGCACTGACCATATTTAAATCATGTTAATTTCTGAAAAAGCTATGGTTGCTATGACTATCAATGGCTCTTAAAGATTCTTCATTTTCAGTTATCATCTTTTCCAATTTCTATTTGTATGCTTGACAGTACTTTGTATATATAGTTTCACTGGTTTTCATTTATTCATTTATAGGATCATTTATTCCCTGTTTACACTTTCTACCCACTGTCTAAAACATAAATCTATTAAAATATAGACTGTAAATACACAAAAGTAAATGGTTGTCATAGGCCAGTGTTACATTTGAAACAGCTTGGAATTTATTAGTTAAAATTGACGAAATTTCAAATACGTGATATACCTTTTAAATCTGAAATATATCACATCTTTTCCAAGAAAAACATACACATCTGAAAACTGGTAACTTAATTTATAAACGTGGGTTATAAAATGGAGGTTCAGAAATCTCCAGATGTTTGGCTTATTAAAGTCAGTGGCCGTCCAATATCAACACTGCCCAGATTTCTGATCCTGTATCTTAATATAGAAAAGAATTGAAACTGTGTGCTGATTTTTTTCAGATATTTTAGGCATGTACTCTGTGCATCCAAATGTTTATGTGGTTGCTTGCCTAATTAATATGAAAGTTCCTGCATGAAAGGGTATTTGCATGTGCAGTTACCTAAATTGTACATGCAATTGCAAGTAACTTCAGCAATAATATTCCACAGCCTACACCTAGATGTGGTTGTGAAATCCAGGACCCAGTCCTCACTTGTTTGCTGAATCCCTTTTTCTAATTCCTACTGTTCTGATTTTGGGTTTTGCCTTGAGGAAAATTCCCACAAGAATATGTTAAAAGGGGAAAAATACTGTTAGAGCACATATTGATAGATGTTCCTGTTACACATAGGCTTTTTTTTTTTTTTTTCCTTGGTTGATCATCAAATTTTGATTCTTGGAAAGATATTCTGAGTTGTTAATTTTGGATTGTGCAAAGTGTCAGCTGTGGTAGAGAAGAAGCTGTATAAGCAGAGCTCCAGTCTGCACTCCCTTTTGGGTTCTGATTAGCATCTATTCTGAAGACAGAATGTTTCTGAGGACACAGTGAAACTGTTTTCTTAAGAGTTTCTACTGAAACTCTTAAGAAAATGGATTGCCTGGCATGTTGTCTGACCAGTTCTATGCCATGTTCCTGTGTGTAAGGAGTAGTCTGTACCAGGCATGAGCTGAACCACCCTGCACATCACCAACAGTTCTCCACTCAGGCCACCCTGCTGCTAGTAGCATTTCTTTTGGTGCAAACATGAGAGTCAGGTAGTGCAGTGGTATTTTAGCTTTAGATGATATTATTAAAGATGCAAAACTTTTACCTTGTGTTTAATAAGGTAGCTGAGAAACATTTTATTTTCTTCTTTATGTCTCTAGGCACTAGCTAAAGGTATGAAGTTCACATACATATTATGGCTACCTAAATGAGTTGTAATACCTGCAGTGCATTGTAATGGGTATTTCAGTCTCGTGAGATCATCTAACCAGCCTTCTTTAAGCATTCTTCACACTCCAGTACTTCCAAAAATAATAATGAAAGTATTCATCATGTCAACCATGTTGACACTTTGCATCTGCAGGCTCTTGAAACCACCAAGTGCCAAAATATAGAAATATACTTTTTGTATGAAAGGTCATCTGCAAAAGACAGAAAATTGGGTCTGTTCCTTGCTTGCTTTTTAATACCATCTGGAACTATAGCCTGAGAATTTTTTTGTCTGTTGTTTTGAAAAGTTTTGTAAGAGAAAAAAAAGTATAATTCCCATATACGCTGGAAGACTTACTGGAAAAACAATGAAATGTTGATGTTGCAAGAGCTGGGTGAAAACGGAGCAATATAGAGGGAAAAGGCTTTTGTAATACAGCTTAAAATACTTTGATTTTGTTGTGCTTCATTAACTGTTGAGCTTCAGTGACTAGCTTTATTAAAATTTGAATTGCCATTCCTATTTAGGTGCTCACAGCAGATATTATTTATCCTTCACAGAAGAATATTCCTGATATTCATAAAATAAAATAGATCTTAAAATATGCATACAACACTCATGACTCCTATTAATAATATTCTGTTACACTGAACAGGAAAGTAAATAATTTCTTCTCACAATTCTTTGTACAAAAAATCAGTGGCTTAAAGGTGAATAAAATAGGATATGTAACAGAATGGACTTGTAACACATTTTTACCCAGAACCTTGATGTAATGAAACTCCACTGTATTAATGGAGATATATTTTATATAGATTAAATAAAAAAATAATTTGGACTGTTTCCTTGTGGATGCACACACTAGTTATGTAGTTAATTCAAATGCTAAGGAGCTGAGGACCAGTATTTTACAATTCATCTTCCTAGACTATTCAAAATTGTTTGATTGATTTATGGGCATTTACATAAAAGTTAAGAGTTCAAATAAACCACTCCTTATGAATTTTTAAAGTCACTCTCCTCACGGGTGACACAAATCTCTTTTATTCTGAGTGTGTTAAGTTTTAGCCTCTGCCTCTGATGTTAAATCCTCAGTGATGAGGGATGCAGCAAAGTAACCTCTCTACAGAACAGCTGTGCTTGCAAAACACGGCTCCACGCTGGGGGATACAAATTGCTGCTGCCTATTTAGCATTGAAATCAGAAAGCAGAATTGCATCAGGATCTGTGATAAAAGGAAGACATTATTAGTCCTAATGCAGCGCATTGCAAGTATTACATTCAGGCTGACTATATCATGGTTCTAGTTACAGTAGTAGCTATATACTCTAGTTATAGTAGTAGCTATATACAGCACAAACCATTACTGTACTGTTAGGGCTATTTCAGGCAGAGTGGTATCTGTGGTGCAGGAGTACTTGCCTGCTTTAGCACTGGCTCATGCCTCTCTGCAGAGTGTTTCACTACATTGAGATGATGTTTTTTCAGTGTCCGGTGATGTCCTTGAAGTGTCAGTGGGGTGATAATCAGAGTGCAGGCAAACCACGTTCCTTAAGAAGTCAGTCCCTTGTCCATATCCAAGGCAAGGTGCCAGAGTTGCACCTGACAGGCATTTGTCTGGCCTGACCTTAAAACTTCTCATGAAGGTCATCCTCCAACCTGGCTAGGTGCAGCCACTTCCATTGCCTGACTATCCTTCTAGATAAAAATCATTAAGTTTTCCTGTGATCTGAGGTAGTTACTTTGGTCTACTTCTTCATCTTCCCTCCCTGAGAATGTGAAGAACAATTGATCACTGTCCTCTTCAGGACAATCTTATCTACATCAGAAACTGCTGTGGTGACCTCTTTCAGCATGCTCTGGTTTTGGACTAACCAAATTCTGTTTCTTCAGCCTTTCCATGTAGGTCATATTGTCCAGGTCTCATCTACGCTCTCTCTCATTTGCCTACATCTTTTTTCAGTATAGTGCCCACTTTGGCAGTGTATTTAATCTGAGGCTGCATTAGCACCATTTCAAGTAAAAGCATTACTTCCCATACCTTTTATGTATATTTGTAATACTATACTCCTGGAGACCATTTGTGTTTTTAGCAATGTTGCCACACTGGAAACCTCAAAAACTTCATGTTACTTACAGTGCCCAGTCGACAGCAATAATCAATGTGATGTCATCTGTTGGGAGCCCAACCGAGGTCAGAACAATGACCATTGTCACCAGGCCAGCTTGCGGGATACCTGCAGCACCTATGCTGGCAGCTGTGGCTGTGATACTTTAACAAAGAAAGAAAGGAATAAGCTTTACCAGTATGGGTTGCTCTGCAAGAAACCACACCATGTTTCTACAGGAGCTTTCCTAAACCATAATCCTTCTTACACCAGTCACTGCACAGAATTGCCAGTGTTTTGTGGACAGAAGCCAGGTCAGAAAGCAAGAACAGGTCGAACTGTCTGCCCAGTGCTAAATTCTCACCCTCTACCTTTGCAGCCTTGGTGCTGGTGGGGCAGTTCTGTTATCTCTTAATATCACAAGTACAGGCAAAGCGGGGCAGCCAGCCTGTGCTCTCTCTGAGTTACGTCAGCTTCTCGTGGGTCATGGCACTACGCAGCACTGTGTGCCACAAATCTGCCAGCACTCCTCATCGCTGCTTCACCCTTGGCAGCAGAGCTCCCAGCACACATCTCTGAGTCATCATCGTCAGTCCTGTGCCAGGCAAACAGTGGCTGGCTGAGACTAGGGCCTTTAATGTCAATCCATCACCAAGAGGCTAGGCCAAGGAGAAAGAGGCTGGGCCAAGGGTGAAGTCCTTGCATAGCACATGGCTTTGCATACTTGGATCTAAATACGAAGCAAGTATGAATGTGACTGTACCTCTTCAGTTTCTGGAAAGTATTTTTACTTGACCTTCGCACCATTTTTTCAGCCAGGCAAGCAGAAATGAATGGGAGACCAGGGCAAGAGTGGACCTGGCAGGCTTAACATTTTTTTCATAATGCTATTTTTAGGGGAGGGATTTCATTCCTTTTTCCAGGAGCAAAAGTGACTGGATATATTCATTTCCGCCCATCTGGCCACTTCCAAGAGCTAGGCCATCCAGCAGAAAGACAAAAAATGAATGTTGACAATTGTAAAAGGATGACATAAAGCATATACACTGATAATCCACTGCATTTATCAATCAATTTCAGAGCTTTTGGCAAGCAGTTAAGTCTCATCAACCTCCTGTGATGGAAAGTGAGGGTAACAATATTCACCCATACGGAAACTGAGACACAGAGATACCCAGTATCTTGCTCACAGCCGTACAGTGTACCAATACAACAGTAGTATTTATAACTAGACCTCTTTCCTGCAATAAAAAAATACATTTGCATGCAGGTGTGATGAGGAACGAGAAAGATTTAAAACTACATTTTGAATAAGTCAGCTTGCATAGCATTCTGCTACATCCATAGCATTGTAGTAGGCAGAGTATAGATCGAAAGGAAGGGACAGAAGCTCAGTAGTTGAATAACAGATAAATATAATGAACATTAAAATGTTCTCCAGTTAGTGCTCTAAACTGGCTAGCTGATGAAGACTGCTTCTGCCTCCTAAGACAGTTCAGGCCACAAAGTCTCAAAACTTAACTGGGAGCAAAAATAGGAATGTTTAACAAAGATTGTACATGCAAGCTGCTATTGCATTGATTTTTTTTAACTTAATGTAGATGTTTCTTCCTATAATATGCTCAGTTGATGGGAATAGGATCTTTACTCTCTTTTTCTGCTACATAATCACATTGACATAAATTTTCAACCTGGATTTTACAAATTATGAGCAAAGTAGACTGATTGTTTTTTCCCCCTCTGACATTTTCCCCTCTGACAACAATATCCTGGCACTCAAAAATATTTGAATGTCAAATCTCCAGATCCTAAAGTATCAAGATCTGGGACAAGTTTGGCCCACAGAATACAGTTAGAATTTGGCTTCAGATACTCAAGGTACTGAATCGACTGTGATTTCCTATTTACCTCCTTCTTTTGTAAGTCAGTCAGTCTTTTTATTTCTTTTCCTTTCTTGGATTGTTCCAATCTTCATTTGTATTTTCCTTCTACTGTCTTTACATCTGTCTGGTTCTTATGCACTAGCACTTAATACAGGCAGTGAAAATAAAGAGGTAAAATAGGGTCCTGCTAAGAGAAAGTTAGAACTTACCTATTATCCATTTACTATTGCCCTCCTTCTCCTTAATTTTTCCAAATCACTATTCTCTGCTTCAAGGTGTATGTAATGTCTGTCCATGCTCTGGGCTGTATTTTGGGACCACATTCTAAAAACATCCCCAAATTCAAAATCACAAAAGGCTAAATTTTAGCACAGGGTCATTCCAATAATTTTCAGAGAGAGAAACAGCCTGAAGCAAGAGCTCATATGGGCACAATTTATTTCTTCTGCTTCTAGTCTCACAGATCTTGACAGAAGCCCATTAGCAAACCCCAGCTGTCATCTGGGGTTAGTTTCAGGACTCTCCTCCTCTTGTCATGAACGTTTTGAAGTCCAGAAGAACATGGGCAAGGCCCAGCAGAATAAACAGGGCAGTGTTGAGATCACTGGGTGGGTAGGTAAGCAGATCTCAAATATGTTGCACAAGGCTCCGACTATGACAAATGTTTTTCTAATAATTTGTTCCCTGCTGGAAACCTGCAGGTTTCAGTCCCTGAGGCATTCTTTGGCAGCCACTGGAGTTATTCTGGCAGTAATTGTTCAGCTGGATCTTCTAGTCTTTTGAATCCATTACAGACCTTTCAAGGACCAAATATGTAGCTATAGCACTCTCTACCCACTGACAGCACGGTTGTTTATGAATATTTCTGCTTTAACAAGCAGCAGAGAAGAAATTTAAAAAATATCTGAGTGATATGACATCTTCATGAAAACCTGCCCTGATAGTAGCATCTGTCCTCCTTCTCCATTCCCCTATTCCCCCAAGGTTTGACAAAGAGCTTCCTAACACACAGTATTCCCTGTTATCTGATATAGGACTTCTAGTTTTGTGGGTTTTTAACCTTTTCCTCTCATGTAAAGATGCAAACCAGAGTTAAAGTTGCAAAGCATTCTGACATTTAAAATAGTGTTTTAAACACCAATAATAATAATAAAATGTTCCGATCCTAGTAAATGATCCATGGGTTGCCTAAAAGCAAAAATTAGACAGTTACCCTCAAACAGAAACACGTTTCCTGGTGTCCACATGTTTCTGTTGAATGGTACCAGTGCAATTTCCCTTTGTCTGTGATTTCTACATTACTTAAAAATAACCATCCTATGAGGAATGGATCCTTTGGTAATAGCAAAGATGAGTTTCGTTCTGAACGTAGCTACATACAAGAATTGTAAGTGTCAGACTCAACAAGACAAGCAAAACACAGCATGTAGAATTTGAGGTTTATACCTTATAGTAATAATCTGCCCAAAGTCCAGCTCATAGTTGTTTACTTGCGCAATAAAGATGGCAGCCACCGCCTCGTAGAGTGCTGTCCCATCCATGTTGATGGTGGCTCCCACAGGCAGCACAAACCTCGCAATCCTCCTGTCAACATGGTTATTCTCCAACAAGCACTTGAAAGTGATAGGCAGCGTGGCTGAGCTGCAAAACAGCAGAAACTTTCAAAAACCATCACAGCAAAGCATGCCCCCCCCAACTTCATATTAGATGTCATTTCTCTTGGGCATATCTATCATTTTTTACACATTCATCAGTGCATGACTGAAATTATCTATGTCTTATTTACCATAAAATGTTCATAAAAGGGCGAGGCTGCGGCTCACAGATAATGTGGAACTGAACACCCGGTGTAGGTGTAACTAGGAGCAGACCACCACAGTAACACTTCTAGATGTTCTTAACTATCAGCATGGCCAGGAAGCAATTACTAAACTTACTATTCATTGCCTTCCTTCCTTGCAGCTACTTCCTACAACCTTGCTAGTGGAGGGTTACTTATTTTTAAAGACAGTCTTTCCTTGGCCATTTTGCTTTTCTGTAACAAAACTCTTCTCTAATTTCTTTGAGGGAAAAAGAGGAGAAAAAGGTAATCTTACAAGTCCTTTTCCACCTTGCCCACACTTTGATATACCAGAATTTTAAACCTAAATGTCTTCCTGTTCTGAGGGCAGAGAGCTGAGCTGTGAAACATATAAATTTTAACTGACTGACATCTTCTGATTTGATTGAGATGTGACAAACATTGTGAAAAACAATCCCATAATACCAATGGCACAACCAGCAAAATCTGTATCTATTTCCACTGTTGTAAATGGTATGTATGACACTGGTTTTGCATGAATTCAACTTTTAAACTTGTGCGTTATCTCACAGAATCAGGTGTTTCTTTCATTAATTTTGTGCTGTTAAGTAAAATTTCTAGGGCATATAACTAGATGTTGGTTTTGTTGTTTATTAAATATTATAATAAAAAAGAAAAAATTCTCAAATAAATAATTTGTCTTTCCAGTTAAATTAGGTGAAGTTTGCTTTCTTGAAAGCTGCTTTATCTAGTGTTAAACAGTGGAGCAGTAACATGAAAGCCTGATGTGTAACATTTATTAGGAGGAAAAAATACTCTAAAGCACTGATCTTAATCTGTTAAGTCTTTTAAAAACTGTCCTAAAGCTTTCAGCTAAGAAGAGAGGTATCTTCTCCCACCACTAACTCTAACAATTAAGAATACATTTTTAGAGTCTTATCTCAATTTTGGGATAAAATGCTGCAGCTGCAGAGACTGAGCATAAGCTAATGCTGGATCAGGCCAAGCTCTTACTAGTGTGAGCCACAAAGACAGCTAGTCACTGTGGAAGAACAGCTGTTCAGCCTGCTCTGTTTATCTTATCATTCAAATGCATTTTGATATTTGCTCCAAAAAAATCAACAAACTGATCTCATCTCCCTTTTCCTAAATCTGCCTTTAATTTACACTGTGCAATAGCCAAGATCTCAGTGTTTCATAAGCAGCAAAACCCTTGAAAAACTCACTTGTCTTCAGAGAAGATGAAAATTGCTTCTTTTGATGGGATGTACCACTGAGAAGATGCTGCTTTAATTCATTAATGATATGGAAAGATGACCTAGAAAAATAAAATTCCCTCTTGCCATTGGAATGAGGAAAGCTAAAATCAAGAGGAATTTTGTCTGTAGGACAAATACTGCTTTTTTCAGTACCGTAAGAGGCAACAAGATCAGGGTCAATGCGGGAGAAAGAAAGCAGCAAGTCAGAAATCTACAGCTATGCGGCCTGAACACCACAGAGCAGGGCTAGGTGGGCAATGACAGCATGTGCAGTACACAATTTACTGATATAGTAAAGAAGAGCTGTGTACATTGCAATGGATGCCTGTTGCCAAAGCCAGCTTGTACTGGGGCCAAGGGTTTAGCTTCAGGGGCTGGCTGGCCAGGTGCCTGGTGCAGGGACTTGGTGCTAGTTGTAGGGATTGAGTTCTTTATGTCCTGAATGATGCAGCAAAGGAATAAGATCTCTGTCCCTGCCTCTCCAGTAATGTCTGTGCAAACATAAATACTGCTGTGACCGGGATTTCTGGAGAAATAGAAGGGGACTGAGAATGGAGTGCAGAACCTTTTGCTAGAGGGAAATGGGTTGAAATAATGCTCAGATTCAATAAAATCATTGCCATGAGATGGCTGTTTAGGGGCTTTCAGGCTCCCTTGTGTTACATTTTTGGGTTTTGTACATGGTATTGGTTTTGATTCTTGCAGTTTGACTTTTAGCTTAAAAAGAAAGTTTTCCAGAGGTGCCAAGTAGGTGGAATGAGTATCAGGGCACTGATCTGTGGCTTGCTTTCTATCTCTAGATGTAGACATGAACTGACAGAAACATCTCCCAGAAACAAATCAATATGCTTAAAACCAACTTTTTGTTCTTGTTTAAGATGATCTGAAAATCCAATACCCACATTATGAGTGTTATATAATGCCCCTGTGGCAAGTATTATTTAACCAAATACAGATGTGTTGACTATCAGGAGAAGCAGCTCTCCTGTCCAGCCCCAATTATTTGTGCATATTCTTTTGGCAACAGCTCAGTTATGTGCAGTATCCATTCCTTTCAGTGAAACAAAGGTGAAAAGTTCAGCTATCTCTAGAGAAGGCACTGCTATTTGAGCAGAAAACCATTAAAACCCATGCTGGACCTGTGTTGGATTTGCAAAATATACAAACTGTTAAGAACAGGCAAACAGAGTTCAATCAATCAAACATGTCCAAACCCCAAATCTGTAAGTTCAGAGCCTTTCCTCAGGACTCACCTTAACTTTGGTGGTATATTAGCTTCTGACAATAAAGATACTAAATCTGGTAGCAAGTCCTGCTGGTGATTCTTGACAGGCTGAGCTGCCTGCTGGTACCAGAGATCTGTTCACGCCCTCTCTGGGCCTATAAATATGTAATTTTTCCTTGCACAGTGGATGGGGAGACAGTGCTATCTTAAAGTACTGGATATCCCCAGGAGAGGGGCTGTCTCCTGGGAGTCGAGCCCAGCAGAGTCAAAGTCAGCACAGGTTTAAGGGAAAGCTGAATTCCCCGAGTATTCCCCACTGTGAGCAGGCACTCTGACACCATCTTGGGGTAAGGGAACGGGGGTGGAGAAAAACTTGAGTAAAGATTGGTTTACCTTGGAGAGACTCAGCAGAGAGAGACAGCTCCCCCTCACCAGTTCTGTACGTTGAGACTTTTGCTTTATAGCTGTGCCTGATGCCTGCCTAGCTCTCCTTACCACACTGGCTTTTGGGGCTCTTTCCTAGGACCCCAACTCTCCTAATGAAGCGCTAAGTTCCAAAATGAACCACAGGCATCCTATGTGGTTGAAATTTTCCTAAAAGTTAGGCTTTGCAATGACAATCACTGTGATATGCGGGTCTTTTAAAAAAATTTGCTAGAAAGCATGCATGTTCTTTCCTTATGCTTCTACAAGTACTTGACAGAAAAAAGAGCTGATCTAAAAATTCTCAAACCAACCAATGTTGGACTTTCTCCAAGTAGTAATATAACTTAGGCACTCATATGTAGAACAGAGACTCAAACCCCTGCATCCCTTTGTAGAACTGGTTGTGCATTTTGGTGACTACATACCATGTCTGACTTTTTGTCTTATTCCACTGCACATGGGTTGGCGCAATCCCAAGCACA